TCTCACACAAAAAGGAAAAATTCTCCTTCTTGTCTCCCCCAGTTTATCACAGAATTAAAAATCATAGTTTGATTTGGGAAGAATCTGAGGAGCTTCCTCAGAGCCCACCTAGGTGCAGCGGGTTCTGTGCACATCTGCTGTGGTGCTTTGCTCCAGCTGCGTCAAATTTGCACGCTCAGCAGGAGGCACAAGCACTAAGTAAGCACATCAATTAAAGAACCTAATATCGAAATAAGCTTTAGTTGAAAATATAGCAAAAGATTTTTTTCATGAATATAAGTAGGATCTAAGTGTCAAGTCTTAGGGACATAAAAGTGTTTCCAAGGCAAAACTGAATCTTGTTTTTCTTTGAAAGATGACTTGCCTCATTTCATTCAAGGAATTGAGTAAATTAAAAGGATTGCGTCCTGATCCCAATTTGAAATATAACGACCGAGAGCTTCTGCTTAGTTGCAACCAGTTTTGGGGCTGAGGGTATCTTATTTTTTCTCCATGAATAAATTCTTTAATTATAGTCCTAGATATAGGCCCAAGACAGATGGAAACAAACACCCCCATAAAACTTATATGCAAGTGTTCATAGAAGCATTATTCGTAACTGCCAAAGAGTAGATACAACCAAATGCCCATCAGCTGAGGAACGGACATGTACAGTGTGGTGTATACATAAAACAGAATAGTGTTTGGCAATAAAGAATGAAATACTGATACATTACAACATGAATGAACCTTGAAAACATTATGCTTTGTGAAAGAGACCAGTTACAAAGGACCACATATCGTGTGATCCCATTTATATAAAATGTCCAGAATAGCAAATCCCTTCAGATGGAACGCACACTAGTGTTTGCCTAGGATTGGGGTGGGCGCGGGCGCGGCTGCAGCGGGGGTGCTAACGGGAATGGGGTTTCAAGGGGAGGTGATGAAAATGTTCCAGAATTGATTGTGGGGACGACTGCACAACTTCAAGTATATAAAAAATCATTGAATTGTGCACTTTAAGTGGGTGAAAAATATGGTATTAAATTATACCTCAATAAATCTCTGACAAAAATGTATGTATGAGAAGGAGTATATAGTAGAATATTAACAGTGGTTTTATTGATGATTTTTTATAGTCTTTTTAAAATTTTCTTAAACAATTATGTTTTGGGCTCAAACATGTCACATAATTTTTTTTAAAACAGTATTTCTGAAAAGATATCTTAAATCCTTTCTGAAAGAAGGCAGAGTACCAATACAAAAGTTGTATTGTAAAGGAGCACTCGTTCGGGTTGCCGAAGGGCCGGGGTCCTTCTCTCACCTGGACACACCCTCCTGGCCTGCTGATGCTGCAACCCCGCGGGGCCCGGGTCAGCTTGTGGGGTCAAATGCAGTGCTGGGGCTTGTGGACTGATGGGGCTCACACCGATGTCTCTGTAGGTGAGTGACTCATTGTTTCCCCGAGTCCATATTTATTCCTGCTAGTACCCCACTTTTAGGGAATGGTATCATTTGGGAAACTGGAACAGAAGGTCAAAGGTAGCCTCTGCAGAGCGGTAGTTTCTCAGATTTGTTCCCTTCACCATTTCGATCTTCTGGCAGTCGTGAATCAGATGTGCATGCTGGACTGAAACAGTAAACTGATACATGCAAGTGAAGTCTTTATAAGTGAAACGCCATTGCACAGCTGGAAAGGAGGGGTGGATCTGGTCTCACAGAGGCGGAGGGTGGGAAGAAGCACGGAAAAGGCGTTCATCAGTCTGATCAATCTGGCAGCACAGAAGCTGTGAGATAGCATAGTGTTGGTATTGGCAGTGTTCGAAGTAGTCATTCAACTTTCCCTGCCCTGCCTTCCCCCCAGCTCGCCTAATGATCTACCACATCGCTTTAGCTGTTTGGGGCCATCAGATCCAGGTGGAGGAGAGAAGCATTTATTCAGTACCTGTAATGGGCTAGGCACTCTGCTTGGCACTGGGGATACAGGTGTTGAACCAAAATTGATTTGGACCTAGCTTTTCTAGAACTCACAGTCTGTTGGGAGAAAAGGATTCAAAAGACTATGAACTACCCTCAGGGTTTCTCTGGGCGTGTGTGGAGTGGGTGGAGCAAGCTGAGAGTGTGGCCCTTGTTTTCCATTGTGCTTCTGATGCTGCAAGTCTAACTCAGTGGTGCACTTGACCATGGACATCTGAACCTTGAGGGTAGGGATGAAATGGCAGTAGTTGTCTGGCTGGCTCTGATCATGATTCTTCTTGCCTCCTTCCTGGGGGTGGAGTCAGATGGCACAGCAAATGGTAGTTAAAGGAGAATACTGCACATTCTATATTTTCAATGTCAGCTTTTTTGTTTTTGAGTCTAGCTTCTGTGGCCCCATTTTTCAGAAGGAGACAGGTTTGTGCACAGAGTTGAGATCTGTTAGGCTAATCTGTTTCTTAAGACACAAATTAATCTCACAGCTACTTAACCCTGTTTTGAAAACCCTGTTCTTTGCTTCAGTGTCTCTCATAAACACGATTATTAGGAGTATTTCTTGTTCCATTATATTGTAGTTTGGCAATAAAAGGTATATTTACGAAGTTGGTAAACCAGATTTAGAAGTAATCCTTACTTCTGGGTGGGCCTTGGAGGTGAGATTAATAGGTCTTTAAAACAGAATAGCCTGGAGTTACTGATAGCATCATCTGCTGCAGGTTGCTATAGCAACGAGTGGTTTGATTGCACGGTGCAGTTGGTGGTACAGTGGGTGAGTGTAAAAGGATCCTAGTAATTTAGCAGAAACTCTCCTGGAGCAATTTAATTAAACCCCAGTAGAATGAGTGCCAAATTCTTTGAAAGCTCTAAGATGTAGTTCTGTATAAATCTAGACCAATTAAAGGCACATTATTTTCCTGTGTTTACATGCTGTCACAAATATCTTAATGATTTTAGGACAAAGGTTTTATAACTTTGTAAGTTAATCGTTTAAATGATGGAGTACAAATTTTATGAAGTCTTGTCTACTTTAATATAGTTTGCATGAAAATGCAACAAAATTACATTGGTCAATACGGAAAACCATAGGCTGGTGATGTATGAAGACGAGCTTTCTGGGAGAGGCAGGAAGCTGGAGTGTGGACACACTACTGGGGGTATGCACATTCTTTGTTATCACAGGCGAGGTTGCCACAGTATAGTCTTCCTCATCAGCGGTCTCGATTAAACTGTGTACTGTTTTTCTGAACCACTCATGTAGGTAGAGAATTATTTAGAGACATAGAATCATAATTTAAGAACATCAGGTCTGAAATGGCCTTAAAGGAGTGTTCTGTAATGGACAGAATGAAAATGCGTGTGACTCTGGGTGTCCATGCAGATGTGTCTGTCGAAACTTTGGTTCTGGTTACCTTCCCCTTCTTTTTTAACATGTTGAGGGTATCTTTCCCACTTACCCAATTTTTAATAAAACCCTTACTATGTTAATATAATATGATGCACATAGTAGGTGCTGCACCTCAACTTTATGCGTCTGCACAGTGCGGTAAAAAGCTTTGGACTTAGGCGCTTAACTGCAGGCTTTTGAAGGGTCAAGTTGTGGCCCAGTTGGCACATTGCTGATTATGCTGCCCTGCAGATGTTACTCTGCTGCCACCTGGAGGCGTTGTGCGGTATGTGCATTGAAAGGTAGGCAGGGATGCCGGAAGGAAAGCTGCTGGGGCTGTTGTTCCTCAGCCACTGCTTTGTCCCATCTCCTGTTAAGGTCAGTTGACATGACAGCACAACATTGAAGCTATTCCTTTTTCGTTTTTCCTTGTAGAGCTAGTATAAATTCAATATCAGTACACTATTGTGGAGTGTATTATCTCATTACTTGTTTGATATAAAGCAAATTCAAAGTTTTTGTCATGCAGTTTTTTTAAAAACATCATTCCCATGAGGAACTTGACTTCCTTCTTCCATCCTTGCCTTAGGTATAAATGAATCCCATATACCTCTTCTAAGCAGAAACGTGGGTGGGAACTCCCGATATGTGGCCAGGTCGTGAGAAGAGCTTGAAAAATCCACTTGGAGGTTTGAGGCCTCAGGTGACTCACCAGCCGTGGCAAAGTGAAGCAAGGAACTTGTAGTTAATGCACCTGCTGGGAAAACAAGTGCGGCTTTCCCAGAATCAGCTTCAAGCAGGGCCCAGCGCAGAGCCTTGGGGCCCACAACGCTGCCTGTTGACACAGATTCAGGGCACAGATTCTTAGCTGTCTGCCCGTGCTGGGCCTGTCTCTAACCCTTTTATTTTCCCTGGGCCCAAGCTCGTCATTGGTGGTTATTTAACAACAGTGGCTCTTGTTTACTGGCAACTGAGTGTTTGGGAGGAGAACCAATCAGTCAAGGCACAGAGAAAAATACCCCTTAAGTGAACCTTCCTGTACATCCCAGAACATCCTGACCCCTCATATTTCCAGGAAAGACTTTATTAAGAGTGGGGGCACCCCGCATGCCTGCGGCTTGTCTGGGCCGAGCCTGCCGCTGCCCGAGTCAGAGTCCGAGGCTACGCCGAGGTCCCCGACTTTCGCCCGTGCTCTAGGGAAAGCCAGACTTCCTCCAGAGTGAATGACGCTCTTTGGGAACAGGAAATCTTTGGTATTTGAGGAATAGATGTGCAGGATTTCCTCAGGTGGGTACCAGTCATGTCTGTAGAATCTGTGCAATGTTGAAGAGCCTTCCGTTGGCGAGTGGCCGTCCTCCTGAATCAAGGGCATGTATTTACTTAATGATCATTTTTTTCCCCTCAGGATTTCCTTTGAGAGCTCCCGGGCCTGTTTATTTCTCCGTCCACACGAATGATAATGCCGGAGGGTGGGCAGTGAGGTTGTGAGATGCTGTGTCTGCGGAGAGCCAGTTTTAAGAAACTTAATCTAAAAACCCAGCTCCATGCAGACGGCTCCTGGGAAACTCATTTATAGGCGTCATTTACTTTCTCTTTTCTTCTCCTTTTTTAAACAAAAGCTTCTACCAGCAGATCCTGATGAAAATTATTCCTTTTGCAGAGATTAAGAGTTTGGCGCCCAGCAGACCATCACCTGAACAGGAGGATGGGAAGGTAACGGTCCCCTGCCCTCCTCGCCATTTCTTCTCTGTGCTTCTCTCCAGAGTTGAACTAGAAGTGAAGATCTAGTGGCAATAAAAAAAGGTTTTAAACCAAAAAACCCTAAGGATGTGCCCCAGGTCACGTTCAAAATAACTTGAAATCGAGTTTTCCTCATTGAGTTTTCTCTCTCTCTTGTCTATGACCATGCATAGCTGGCTATCTTTCTAGATTGAAATTTTATATGCAAGATGACTTAATACATTTTCCAAAACAAATTTGTACTTTGGGATTGATGGCCACAGATGCTTGCTCATACTGGGATTGCTCGAGTGAGCCTGGGAGAGACCCTGTGAGAGTGAAGTGACCTGTGGGTAGCTCGCGGTCGTGTCTCAGTGGGACAGAGACCCCTCTTGTTGTCAGGCTTTAAATAATGTCAGTTAAGGACAAGCCTCGTTTCCTGTTCATGTGTGATGATACATGTAACGTGTCTTTACTGATGTTCTCTGGGGCTGTTTTTCTAGTTTACAAAAATAACAAGACATCGAGGGGGCACATAGTAACTAAAAAGAACCCACAACCTGACTTCGTCTTTCCCAGGGTGCGAAAAGCCTGGCTCAACGGGATGAACGTGAAGACCGGGACAGCCTAGAGTCGGGTAGGCTCCAAACTGTTGCTTCCCTTTGCACTCCTGGGGGTACTGCAGTCCCAGGAATACAGAGGACAAGAAGAAAACGTATTGTAGAAATAAAGCCCCCTTCCTGGGAGCCTTTATCTGTGTGTTTCTTAAAATCCACTCAGATAAATTGTCTTTGCCGCATCACTTACAATGCTATGACCAGGGGTTGGGTCTCCATTTGTAATCTAAAGAGCAAAACAATTGAAACGAGACACTGAAAGCTTTCCCTGCGCAATGTTACCCTGAGCCAGCTCTGGCTTGTTGTGTGCTACCTCGTATGTTATTCCTGGGCAGGGGCACTGCCAGTGTCAAGTGAAGCGACTCCACGGTGGAGAGTGGGTGGTGGAATGGAGACGTGGAACTTGTTTCCACCTGGCCCTGGAATCCCCGAGCTCACTGCCATCCCATTTTGATACCCAGTGGGACCCCTCAGGAGCTGAGCCTCTAGGATCTTATGCCCTGGCCTCTGGAAGAGGCCAGGTGCTTGTCCTGGGGCATGGCTGTGATGAGAGTGTCCGTCAGAGGAGCCCGGGGCTCCCTTGGCGAGGTGAAGGTAGTTCTCCCCCCGGGCCTGGAAATGCTCACCTGCTCACGTGCATTCTCTTTTACAACTAACTGCCTGAGGACACCTCCCCAAATCTCTTTCCTAGACACTTCCTAATTCTTCGGCTAACTTGGGCCTCAGAATCCTCTTTTGAATCAGAGACTGGTGAAGCGGTGGGGTTTGAGCTCTCGTACCCGGAGGGTCCGTGAAGGCCTTTAGATAAAGTGGAAAGTGGAGAAGCACAGACTTTCCGAGTCGGTTTCCGCAGGCTCAGCAAGGCTGAGGCAGTTCAGGAACCTGGAAAGCAGGAGGGCAGAGCAGTCCGAGGAGCTGCTGGGGGTGAGGTGGTGGTGGCAGTAGCAGCCAAGTGCTCGGCTGATGTGAAATCCGGGAAAACCAAAACAATGCCCAGGGCGTGTTAAGGAACAGCAGTGGGTGGGCCTGCAGCGCCTAGAGGTCAGGGCGCTCCCTGGAGGCCAGTGGCGTGTTACGGACGCGTTTGGCAGGCACTCGACAGAGCAGTTCCAACGGTTGGGAAATCATGGAGGATGAAGCTGGGCGAGGAGGAAGCTCCCCTGGGGGTGGCTGGCTGTGCTGCTGGTAGCTTGGCCACGAGCCAGCAGTGATTTGCTGGAGCTCCTTGTGCGAGGTGCTGCTGAAATTGGAACAGAAACTGAGGCCATACCCAGCAATACGTGCACCTTTAGTATTTCTACTATATGAGGTAAGGGGAATAATTGACTTTCGGAGGGGGGAGGAGAAAGGAAAGCCAACATCTCCGTGCGGATGAGGGTTGCGGCCACCAAAGCCAGGAGAACGGCCCTTGCTCACGTGTAGAGGATGCCTCGTCCATAAACTGCATCACGCTCCCAGGAATGTCAGCTCTGAAGAATGTTTCACCAAGATGAATTGCTGGTGGGGGAGGAGTGTTGGGTGTTAAGACAGTGAAATGCCAGGATTGTTTTAATTTTAGGCTTTAAAAACTCACTTCGTTCTCAAACTGGCGTGCTTGCTGGGTAAAGAAGACACGTGCTAAGGATACCGTAGCAGCCTGACCCAGGCCAGGTGTTTTGTCGGTAACCTCATGGTGCCCGAGGAGACTGTACTGAAGGATCTGAGAGGGACAACCACGTACGATATTAATCCAGGGGTTTACGAAAGGGCTGTGAATGGTGGCTCCTTGTGCCAACATTTGCTTTTTGGTTAACTGGAACTTTTTTGGGACTAATGAAAGTCACCCGACTTTATGCAAAGAAAATGACACTCAATTTTAAAAGAAACTTCTGAGACAGAGAGAGGGGAACAGGCAGTGAGCAATAGTCAGGTGGTAAGCTGGAGTCTGCAGCTGTAAATGGCTTTTTCATGAGGCCATTTCCAAACTGTTTTGCTCTTTTATAAGCGCCTGTGTTCTGCTCAGTCTCTGGGGAAAGGCTGATCCGTGTGGGTTCAAGGTATATGTCTTTGCTGACTTGTATTGTTAAAAACGGTGTGGTGTGAGTTTGGTGTGATCTCAGAAACCGCATCAGGGCTGTTTCAATAGAACTTCCTGTGATGATGAACATGTTCTACATCTGCACTGCTTAATATGGTCTCCAATAGCCACATATGTTTATAGAATGTGTGATGTGTGACTGGCGTGACGGAGGAATTGACCTTTAAATTTCATTTCATTTATTGCACTGAAAGTTAACTTTATATTGTTTTTGTTAACCCATCAAAGCATCAAGAATCATACTGGCCATTAGTTTATACACCAAAAATGTTGGTTGGAAGGATAATGTCTCAGGCGGATAGCATTTAGTAAGCTCATCCAAGCCAGTGCCTCCAACTACCTCACTGGGCAGTGTTAATAGGGTTACAGTACATTTATGGTGAGTTGGGAGTCATGGCCCCATTCTCTGTGGATGCTGTAAGGGCCTGGTGTTTTGCTCAAAGGGCGAATATCAGTCGAAGGGCTGGGATATGATTCTGTTGCTGTTACGGTGAAGAAGGGATTCCTCAGTGTGTGATTCCTTCACATTCTCGGAAGCTAACATGGGAGGAGAGGACAAAGCATTTGGAGTAAATGGAAAAAGAGAAGATAGGTGAAATGGAGCAGGACAGACATAAGGAAGGAAGGAAGGAAGGAAGGAAGGAAGGAAGGAAGGAAGGAAGGAAGGAAGGAAGGAAGGATCCATTGATCCATTTGGCGCAGGGTCATCTAGTCCCTGATAGAAGCATGGAAGTAGAGGAGACAAGATACCATTTAAAAGTAGAAGCTGAGTCGTGGGCAGCAGTCAAGGCCATGCCTGGGAGAAGGGACATGAACACCTGGCTGGAACGAGCAGACACCCGTGGGAATGCAGTGGGATGGCTGAGCTTCGGCTGCCCTGTTGGAATCCCAAGTGCAAACCAAGATGCTTAAACAATCGCTGGATCAGTAAAGCTGTGAGTGGCTTGATTTGTTACTCTCTTGCAAACTACTTTTAAAAAGTTGCATTTGTAATAATAGAACTGTGTGCTGGTTAGAAATTAGGATGTCAGGTTAAAAGTTAAGTGCATGCCGGGGACTTTGAAACAAGAGTGCTGGGATCTCGGGTGAATTACTGAAGCTCCTGGAAGGCGACTCCTGCTCTCTCAAGTGATGTTCAAGAGCGTGAGCGAGGTTGCATGTGACAGCCAGATTTAGTGACACTCATACTGAGCCTGATTTTCTTGCAATAGTTTATCAACCATGGCTGCAGTGGACTAAAGATTGTTTGAAACTTACTTGGCTAAAGCTGTATATTGTATTACTATTTGGATGGAGGAAAAAGGATGTGAAATGGACTTATTAAAGCAAGAACTGTGTGAGCATTTAAAAAAATTTTTAATTTGTTGATTGATTTTAGAGAGAGAGGAAGAGAAAGAAAGGGGGAGGGGAGAAGAGAGAGAGGCACACCGATTTGTTGTTCTGCTCCTTGATGCATTCACTGGGTGATTCTTGCATGCGCCCTGGTGCCCTGACTGGAAATCGAACCCTCAACCCTGGTGTGTTAGGATGACACTCTAACCAACTGAGCTACCCAGCCAAGGCATGTGAGCATGCTTTAACTCCCTCCTGGGGAAAGGAGGTAGGGGGGACGATAGGGGGTGGTTATCACTTGGTTAGCATCATCCTCTTTGCTTGGGAAGTTCCAGTGCCCAGAAGCTCTGGGCATGAGGCGGTGCCGTGTCTGCTGCCCTGGGTTTGGCTGGGAGACAGTGGGCGTGGCACAAATGCCAGAGGAGATTTTTAAACATAATACCTCGCTAAGCAGCTTTGTGGGAAAAAATTAATGTTTTTAAATTATAGAAGTAACAAATGCTCATGGTAGAAAAATCAGAAGTTTTAGAACAAATAAGAAAAAAAGAAAAATGTCCCTATAATTTTCCCCCTTCAAAGCAGCTACTATTAAAATTTGATATATTTCTTACCAGTGTTTTATTCTCTGCATCTATTGTTTACATAGTTGTGATCATGTAAATGACAGGATTCTGTGTCCTGCTTTATCCATTAAACGTTATATACCATAAGTACGATCTATTCCAGAAGGTAGCTTAAAATGACTCTATATGTTTTTATCAAAAATATAAATTATGTTTCTAAGAAGAAAGGGAAAATAGAGTCTTCCAAGAAGCACACTTAATATTTATGGGCCAGAACCATCCCTTTTTAAAATAATATGTATTACTTGATTTTATGGAGTGGCCTGGCTATTAGTACATGCCAAGGCTTGAACCCAGTTATTCTTTACCGCTTTGGGTCACTTCATTGCTATTGTTTGTTACTGTTACGAGATAGGAGAAAAAGAAAGCCTCTGGGTGGTGCTCGCACTGGGAGGATGGGCACAAGGGAGACAGAGTAACCGAAGTGGGATGTGGGAGGAAACCTCACATGATTCCCCCAACCCCGTCCAGACGGCCGGGAAGAGAAGGAAGCACAAACAGACAGAAACAAACATTAGGAAGTGAGGTGCTTCAGATTGCTCACCCTGCGTGACACAGACCTTCCGTAACTCTAGACCAAGAAGAAGAAACAAAGGGCCTACACAGGAAGCTTAGGAAAATTTCAGCAAAGGGAAGCTGGAAGGAAATGGCTGGAAGGTGCAAAGGAACAGCCTCGTTAGAGCAGAATGTCGAGGCAGTACAAACTCTCTCCCAGATCTCCATTTATGGGTCTGTCTGGGGAGCTCCAGGCCCATGGATTTCAGTGGAGAGCTGAAGTGCAGTCAGTAGTCCTAATTAGGTTACTGTTTCCTTTCTTCTTATGTTAACTAAAAGTTTTGAAGTGGAATTAATGCTATTAAGCTATAAAAGCTTACACAACAGTGTTTTTAAGTTGTTTGTGAAAAGTTTTGCTATGGCATCCAACAAGATCTTAAATGTGAAATCTCAAGATCTAGGGGCTGGCCCTCTATTGGCTATTATTTGGTAA